TGCTCCTCCAGCAGGGACCCAACAAGTGGCAGATCTGGGGAGACTCCCCTTCCTCCCCTGGGAGGAGCGGCACGGGAGCACACGGCAGGGATCTGCTGGGTTTGGAGACTCCACATGGGGTCGGATGCCAGAGATAGAAATGCTCAGTCAAGGCCGGGTGAGCACGGAGTGTGGCTGGAGACCGGGGAGACGGGAGTGACTGACAGCTTTTCTCTTGGGGCTCACTGAGGAGCAGGGCCCTGAGTTCTCGGCTCCTCCGGGGCAGAGACTAGGAGGCCACCATTTTCACTCTCATCCTCCAAAGGTGTATGGAAAGCTTGCAGGGAACAAAAGCTCCGGAGAGCAAACCCGAGCAGATTACTTAGCCCAGACTGGCAAGGGCGGGGCAATTCCGCCTCTGGCAAAGACATTTGGGAACCACGGCAACAGGCCCCTCCCCCAGAAGATCAGCGAGAACAGCCAGCCAAGACCAAGTTTACCGATCAACGAGAACGGCAGAACTCCATCCCTAGGGGAATACTGCACATAGAATTCATGACTTTTTCCCCCTGATTCTTCAGTCTTTCAAAGTTTTTTTTTTTTTTTAATTTTTCTTTTTCCCTTTTTCAACCAACATCTTATCAATCCCTTTTTAAAAAAATCTTTTTTATTTTTCATTTTTAGAGTCATATTCTATCCCTTCATAGTAGTTAACCTTATTTTTGGTATATATATATATATATATATATATATATATATATATATATATATATATATATAAAGTTATGCTCTCTTTAAAATTTTGGGATACACTTTCTTCTAACAGACCAAAATATACCCTAAATCTCTAGTGTACGGCTTTGTTCTAGTCTCCTGCCTGATCACATTCTTTTTTTTTTTTAATCCTCTTCTTCTTTCAACCAACTTATCAATTCCTTTTATAAAATCTTTTATAATTTTCATCTTTACAATCATATACCATCCCTTCATCGTATTTACCCTTGTTTTTGTACATATATAAGTTTTTCTTTCTTTAAAATTTTGGGAGGCACTTTCTTCTAATGGACCAAAATATGCCCAAAATCTAGTGTGTGGCACTGATCTATGCACCAGCCTGATCATATTTGATCATATTCTGTTTTTGTTTGTTTTTATCTTTTTCTTTTTCTTTCTTTCCCTTTCTTTTCCCCCAGTTGCAGGTCTCTTCTGATTTGTTTAGTGTATATTTTCTGGGGTCGTTGTTACCCTGTTAGCATTTTGTTCTCTCATTCATCTATTCTCCTCTGGACAAAATGACAAGATGGAAAAAAAATCACCTCAAAAAAAAAAAAAAAAAAAAAAAAGAACAAGAGGCAGTACCAACTGCCAGGGACCTAATCAATATGGACATTAGTAAGATGTCAGAACTAGACTTCAGAACAACAATTTGAAGGATACTAGCTGGGCTTGAAAAAAGCATGGAAGATGGGCGCCTGGGTGGCTCAGGTGGTTAAGCGTCTGCCTTCAGCTCAGGTCATGATCCCAGGGTCCTGGGATCAAGTCCCATATTGGACTCCCTGCTGCTTGGGAGCCTTTCTCTCTCTCTCTCTCTCTCTCTCTCTCTGTGTGTCTCTCATGAATAAATAAATAAAATCTTTAAAAAAAAAAAGACTGAAAAAAGCATGGAAGATATTAGAGAAACCCTTTCTGGAGAAATAAAAGAACTAAAATCTAACCAAGTCAAAATCAAAAAGGCTATTAATGAGGTGCAATCAAAAATGGAGGCTCTAACTGCTAGGACAAATGAGGCAGAAGAGAGAACTAGTGATATAGAAGACCAAATGATGGAAAATAAAGAAGCTGAGAAAAAGAGATAAACAACTACTAGAGCACGAGGGCAGAATTCGAGAGATAAGTGATACCATAAGACAAAACAATATTAGAATAATTGGGATCCCAGAAGAAGAAAGAAAGAAAGAGAGGGGCAGAAGGTATATTGGAGCAAATTATAGCAGAGAACTTCCCTAATTTGGGGAAGGAAACAGGCATCAAAATCCAGGAGGCACAGAGAACCCCCCTCAAAAATCAATAAAAATAGGTCAACACCCCGACATCTAATAGTAAAACTTACAAGTCTCAGAGACAAAGAGAAAATCCTGAAAGCAGCTCGGGAGAAGAGATATGTAACCTACAAGGGTAGAAACATGAGATTGGCAACAGACCTATCCACAGAGACCTGGCAGGCCAGAAAGGACTGGCAGGATATATTCAGAGCACTAAATGAGAAAAATATGCAGCCAAGAATACTATACCCAGCTAGGCTGTCATTGAAAATAGAAGGAGAGATAAAAAACTTCCAGGACAACCAAAAACTAAAGGAATTTGCAAACACAAAACCAGCCCTACAAGAAATATTGAAAGGGGTCCTCTAAGCAAAGAGAGAGCCTAAAAGTAACACAGACCAAAAAGGAATACAGACAATATACAGTAACAGTCACATTATAGGCAACACAATGGCACTAAATTCCTATCTTTCAATAGTTACCCTGAATGTAAATGGGCTAAATGCCCCAATCAAAAGACACAGGCTATCAGGTTGGATAAAAATACAAGACCCATCAATATGCTGTCTGCAAGAGACTCATTTTAGACCCAAAGACACCCCCAGATTGAAAGTGAGTGGGTGGAAAACTATTTACCATGCTAATGGACACCAAAAGAAAGCTGGGGTGGCAATCCTTATATCAGACAAATTAGATTTTAAACCAAAGACTATAATAAGAGATGAGGAAGGACACTATATCATACTTAGAGGGTCTATCCAACAAGAAGATCTAACAATTGTAAATTCTATGCCCCTAAAATGGGAGCAGCCTATTATATAAGCCAATAAATAACAAAAGGAAAGAAACACATCGACAACAATACAATAATAGTGGGGGACTTTAACACCCCCCTCACTGAAATGGACAGATCATCTAAGCAAAAGATCAACAAGGAAATAAAGACCTTAAATGACACACTAGACTAAATGGACTTTCAGATATATTCAGAACATTCCATCCCAAAGCAACAGAATACACATTCTTCTCTAGTGCCCATGGAACATTCTCCAGAATAGATCACATCCTAGGTCACAAATCAGGTCTCAACCTGATTTGATCCCAAAAGATTGGGATCATTCCCTGCCTATTTTCAGACCACAATGCTTCGAAACTAGAACTCAATCACAAGAGGAAAGTCAGAAAGAACTCAAATACATGGAGGCTAAAGAGCATCCTACTAAAGAATGAATGGGTCAACCAGTTCCATGGTTCCATTAAAAAATTCATGGAAACCAAAGAAAATGAAACACAACTGTAAAACAAAACAAAACAAAACAAAACAAAAAAATCTTTGGGATGCAGCAAAGGCAGTCCGAAGAGGAAAGTATACAGCAATACAAGCCTTTCTCAGGAAACAAGAAAGGTCTCAAATCATAACCTAACCCTACACCTAAAGGAGTTGGAGAAAGAACAACAAATAAAACCTAAACCCAGCAGGAGAAGAGAAATAATAAAGATCAGAGCAGAAATCAATGAAATAGAAACCAAAAGAACAGTAGAACAGATCAACGAAACTAGGAGCTGATTCTTTGAAAGAATTAACAAGATTGATAAACCCCTGGCCAGACTTATCAAAAAGAAAAGAGAAATGACCCAAATCAACAAAATCATGAATGAAAGAGGAGAGATCACAAACACCACCAAAGAAATACAAACAATTATAAGAACATATTATGAGAACTCTATGCCAGCAAATTAGATAATCTGGAAGAAATGGATGCATTCCTAGAGATGTATCAACTACCAAAACTGAACCAGGAAGAAATAGAAAACCAGAACAGACCTATAACCACTAAGGAAATTGAAGCAGTCATCAAAAATCTCCCAACAAAAGCCCAGGGCCAGATGGCTTCCCAGGGGAATTCTACCAAACATTTAAAGAAGAATTAATACCTATTCTTCTGAAACTGCTCCAAAAAATAGAAATGGAAGGAAAACTTCCAAACTTGTTTTATGAGGCCAGCATTACCTTGATCCCCAAACCAGACAAAGACCCCATCAAAAAGGAGAATTACAGACCAATATCCTTGATGAACATGGATGCAAAAATTCTCACCAAAATACTAGCGAATAGGATCCAACGGTCCATTAAAAGGATTATTCACCACGACCAAGTGGGATTTATCCCTGGGCTGCAAGGTTGGTTCAACATCCGCAAATCAATCAATGTGATACAATAATCAAAGAAAGAACAAGAACCATATGATCCTCTCAATAGATGCAGAAAAAGCATTTGACAAAGTACAGCATCCTTACTTGATCAAAACTCTTCAGGGTATAGGGATAGAGGGTACATACCTCAAGATCATAAAAGCTATCTATGAAAAACCCACAGCGAATGTCATTCTCAATGGGGAAAAACTGAGAGCTTTCCCCCTAAGGTCAGGAACACGGCAGGGATGTCCACTATCACCACTGCTATTCAACATAGTATTAGAAGTCCTAGCCACAGAAATCAGACAACAAAAAGAAAAAAAAAAGGTATCTGAATCGGCAAAGAAGTCAAACTGTCACTGTTTGCAGATGATATGATACTTTATGTGGAAAACCCAAAAGACTCCACCCCAAAACTGCTAGAACTCATACAAGAATTCAGTCAAGTGGCAGGATATAAAATCAGTGCACAGAAATCAGTGGCATTCCTATACACCAACAACAAGACAGAAGAAAGAGAAATTAAGGAGTTGATCCCAGTTACAATTGCACCCAGAACCATAAAGTACCTAGGAATAAATCTAACCAAAGAGGCAAAGAATCTGTACTCAGAAAAGTGTAAAATACTCATGAAAGAAATTGAGGAAGACACAAAGAAATGGAAAAACATTCCATGCTTATGGATTGGAAGAACAAATATTGTGAAGATGTCAATGCTACCTAGAGCAATCTACACATTCAATGCAATCCCTATCAAAATACCATCCACTTTTTTCAAAGAAATAGAACAAATAATCCTAAAATTTGTATGGAACCAGAAAAGACCCGGAATAGCCAGAGGAATGTTGAAAAAGAAAAGCAAAGTTGGTGGCATCACAATTCTGGGCTTCAAGCTCTATTACAAAGCTGTCATCATCAAGACAGTATGGTACTGGCACAAAAACAGACACATAGATCAATGGAACAGAATAGAGAGCCCAGCAATGGACCCTCAACTGTATGGTCAACTCCTCTTCGACAAAGCAGGAAAGAGTGTCCAACGGAGAAAAGACAGTTTCTTCAACAAATGGTGTTGAGAAAATTGGACAGCCACATGCAGAAGAATGAAACTGGACCATTTCCTTACACCACACACATAAATTGATTCAAAATGTTTGAATGACCTAAATGTGAGACAAGAGTTCATCAAAATCCTAAAGGAGAACACAGGCAGCAACGTCTTCGACCTCAGCCGCAGCAACTTCTTCCTAGAAACATCGCCAAAGGCAAGGGAAGCAAGGGCAAAAATGAACTATTGGGACTTCATCAAGATAAAAAGCTTTTGCACAGCAAAGGAAACAGTCAACAAAACCAAAAGACAGCCTTCAGAATGAGAGAAGATATTTGCAAATGACACACCAGATAAAGGGCTAATATCCAAAATCTATAAAGAACTTATCAAACTCAACACCCAAAGAACAAATGATCCAATCAAGAAATGGGCAGAAGACATGAACAGACATTTCTGCAAAGAAGACATCCAAATGGCCAACAGACACATGAAAAAGTGCTCAACATCACACGGCACCAGAGAAATCCAAATCAAAACCTCAATGAGATACCACCTCACACCAGTCAGAATGGCTAAAATTAACATGTCAGGAAATGACAGATGTTGGCAGGGATGTGGAGAAAGGGGAACCCTCCTACACTGTTGGTGGGAATGCAAGCTGGTGCAGCCACTCTGGAAAACAGTATGGAGGTTCCTCAAAAAGGTGAAAATAGAGCTACCCTACGACCCAGCAATTGCACTACTGGGTATTTACCCCAAAGATACAAATGTAGGGATCCGAAGGGGTACGTGCAGCCCGATGTTTATAGCAGCAATGTCCACAATAGCCAAACTGTGGAAAGAGCCAAGATGTCCATCAACAGATGAATGGATAAAGAAGATGTGGTATATATATATATATGTGTGTATATATATATATATATATACACATATATATATATATACATACACAATGGAATATTACGCAGCCATCAAAAGGAATGAGATCTTGCCATTTGCAACAACATGCATGGAACTGGAGGGTGTTATGCTGAGCGAAATAAGTCAATCAGAGAAAGACATTTATCATATGATCTCACTGATATGAGGAATTCTTAATCTCAGGAAACAAACTGAGGGTTGCTGGAGTGGTGGGGGGTAGGAGGGATGGGGTGGCTGGGTGATAGACACTGGGGAGGGTATGTGCTATGGTGAGTGCTGTGAATTGTGTTAGACTGTTGAATCACAGACTTGTACCTCTGAAACAAATAATACATCATATGTTAAAAAAAAAAAAGAATATAGCAGGAAGGGAAGAATGAAGGAGGGGAAATCATAGGTGGAGATGAACCATGAGACACTATGGACTCTGAGAAACAAACTGAGGTTTCTAGAGGGGAGGGGGGTGGGGCAATCGGTTAGTCCGGTGATGGGTATTAAAGAGGGCACGTACTGCATGGAGCATTGGGTGTTATACGCAAACAATGAATCATGGAACACTACATCAAAAACTGATGTGATGTATGGTGATTATTAACATAACCTAATAATAAAAAAATAAATTAAATAAATAAATAAATAAATAAAAGATAAGGAAACCACCAGTGTTGTTCTTTACTGGGGCAGCACTAACATGTTGCTGTGGTTCTCATCCTTCTCCTTTATAACCATGTTAGGCAAGCTCTTCTTGGTTTATATAATATTTTCTTTTCCTGCAAATACTGTAGCTCATTAAAAAACAGTTTGATTCATTATGGCTCTTCCTCCCTAGGCTTCCTTTTTTTTTTTTTTTTTTTTTTAAAGATTTTATTTTATTTTATTTTTTTTGAGAAAGAGAGAATGAGAGACAGAGAGCACATGAGAGGGGGGAGGGTCAGAGGGAGAAGCAGGCTCCCTGCCAAGCAGGGAGCCCGATGCGGGACTTGATCCCGGGACGCCAGGATCACGACCTGAGCCGAAGGCAGTCGCTTAACCAACTGAGCCACCCAGGCGCCCCCTAGGCTTCCTTTTTTAAAAAAACCCAGTTAAAAATTGTTTGATATGCTAAGTAATTTCCAACAAAAAATGTTTATTTTCCCCCAGACAGGTCTTTTAGTTTCAGAGAACAATAATTGTATTGTCTCACTATGATGCTGGTTTTTGTGAAGCTCAGGAGACAAAGCCAGGCACTTGAGCGTGCTGCAAATTGCTGTTTTTATTCCAAAAATAAATTTTGTTAACGAGTGGCCATGCAGGTGTTCCCCCCTACCCTCTTTGGCTGGGGGTAGTCAAAGGAACAGGAGGGTGGTTGGGATATCTGCTCAGAAGGTTTCGGACATAAAGGTATAGAAATGTTAACTAGAGACTTCAGTGAGATTTTAAGTTTAAAACCAGTAATTACAAAATCCACAGACGCTATGCCTTCCGAGGGCTGTATATCTTCCTTTGGATTTGGGGGGCATAAAAAGAATATTAAATAATGCAGAGGTGATTGACTTCTATCTTCTAAGGGTGCATTGAACACATTGTGAGCTTCAATTATAGACGGGAACTTAAGACGTAGTAGTTCCTAGCGCATGCCCAAATGGAGATGTTAAGGCATGCTCCCCATAGTTTGTCATTTACTCAAGATTGGGTTTGGACAGGCTTTAGTTTTGTTAAACCTGAAGACTCACAGTTTTTTCGTATTGTTGCTGTCATAGCAGCACAGAGCTAGAAAGAGCCCAAACAGCTTTATTAGAGAAAAGTCTATCTACCACAGCCCCCGCCTTGATCCTTCCTAGGCCTCCTGCTTCCCTAAGCTCCATTCTTTGTTCTTTTCAGATGAAAACAAGCTGACCCTTGCTAAGTAAGCATCTTCCCGTGAAAAGGCTCATGACCAATGCAGTCTTTATAAGACTCCACACTTGAAACGTGAAATATCGTAGGCGTTCCTTGTGTCCTAGCATTGCAAATGTCTTGTGAGAAAAGCACTAAGACTATTTTCTTTGACTGAGTAATTCACTCATTCTGCATCAATATTCACTGGACACTTGTTATATGCAAAGCAATAGGAGTGATTCGAGATTGTGGAAAGTACAGTCTCTGACTTTGAGAAATTTGCAGTCTTGAAGGAAAGAAGTATGTAATGTGTATTTAATAGCAGAGTTGTCCAGCCTGTCAGAACTGGACCATTTATCGGACTCTTTTGTTGGACAGATGAGGAAATCACAGTACTGAGAGGTGAGATGAACGGCCTGAACCGTATCACTGGTGTAGACATCACTGGGAGAATGGAGAAACCACTGGCTGTTGAGCAAGCCACTTACTCCATCATTATTCATATGATTTGGGACAAATTCTTTAACCCACTGAATTATGCCAGACCTCAAAGGGCTGACTTGGGTTGGAAGACTGATGAGCATGGGAACACAGACTTCCTTCAGGACAGTTTCACACAAACTTACCATGACCCAAAGGCAAGAAGTGTAAAGTGTATGTACAAGATAAGGATGAAAGTGAGCTGATGCAGCTTCTCCATGCCTCTCGCCTTCCTCACAGACCCTTGGCTGAAGTTCACTGGTCACTGCAGCCCCCAGGGAGTGGTAAACCGGCCAGGTCATGAACGCCAGGCTGCGGACCCACAGACTGCCACAGTTGGGCACTTGGGTATTCCATTTCTTACTGCTTCCCTGTGCCTAGCGTGGGCCAGCCTTGGCCTACTATATTCGCTCAACTTTACTTTCCTTGTTTATGGTATTTAAAGATGTATGTATACTCTGTAGGATTATTCTAAGCCTTAGGCCAGATGGCCTATGTCAAATGCCTAGCAGGGTGCCTACCCAGACAAGATGCTTCATAGATGCCTTTCTCAGTTGAGGATATGAAAGTAGGATTCAAATTTCCTGACTCTCCAGCCCAATGCTCTTTTCAATATGCAAATAATGGCGACTCCATTTAGTGTGTACTCAGTGCCAATGAAATGTGATGTTTTAAAGGGTGACTGCAGGTCTAGAAATCCTAAGAATCTGTTTCAATTTATTAGCCTATATGCGTTTATTGAAGTGACTGGCTTTATAATGAAATTACCATAACTAGGAGCTTTTTTTTTTTTTAAAGATTTTATTTATTTATTTGAGACAGAGAGCACGAGAGGGGGGAGGGTCAGAGGGAGAAGCAGACACCCCGCCGAGCAGAGAGCCCGATGCGAGACTCGATCCCGGGACTCCAGGATCATGACCTGAGCCGAAGGCAGTCGCTTAACCAACTGAGCCACCCAGGCGCCCCACTAGGAGCTTTTTTTATGATGGTAAGTACCAGCTCAGTAATATAATAAAAAAGGAAGAAATTCCATTCAAAATGGCTAAGTGAAACAAAACAAGAGGGAGGATAAACTTAGAATTGTCTATAATATTTATAAAGAAAATTACAAAGAATTTTATGAGCCATATGTAAAGATATATACTATGTTATCATATAGGAAAACAGATTTCAGCAAGTACAGTTAATTACTATTTGTTAAATATTAAAGTTCCATGCTAACAAAGAAACCGTGAGTATAATGATGATCTACTTCCTAGGAAATCCTAAAACAGAACATATTAATTATTAAAATAAGGGGTGCCTGGATGGCTCAGTCGGTTAAGCATCTGACTCTTGGTTTCAGCTCAAGTCATGATCTCAGTGTCATGGGATTGAGCCCCATGTCAGGCTCCACACTCAGCAGGGAGTATCCTTGAGATTCTCTCCCTCTCCCTCTCTACCCTTCCCTACCTTGTGCTCTCTCTCTAAAGTAAGTAAATAAATCTTTAGAAATAAATACATGAATAAATAAGGCAGTATGGAAAGAGAAATTAATTTACAAATATCATAAAATTAGGGGAAGTAATAGTTATTTAACAATTGCCTAACTATACTTTAAGAATTCCCAGGATAACTGGCTAACAAATACAAAACCAAACATGATTTGGATCGGCTTTCATACCACATACCAGAGTAAGCCCTTAGTGGATTAAAGAGTTAAATATTTACTTTAACTCTTAGCAAAGCAAGGAGAAATAATCAAATATTTATGAAATCTTCGGAGGGATATATCTCTGAAAAGCTTGTAACAATAATGGAAATCATAAAGGAAAAAAATAAATGGCTCCAAAAACCAAGCAAGAAAATGACTGTAACATTAAAAACTAACACAAATAAAAAAACAAAAAACTGGGGAACATTTGTATTATGATAAAAAAAAAGTTGGCATATATAATATAGAATTTATTCAAACCTTCAAAAATATTAAAACCTCAAGAGATAAATGGTCAAAGGATATAAACATACAATTCAATTATGAAGAAATGTATGTGAATTATATATACTAATAAGTATATAATAAAATATATACTCAAATATATGTATTATATTTATATAATATATAACTAATATTAGAAGGCTATTTAAAACAGCAAAAACTGGAAACAAGCAAAATGCCCAATATAACTGTACTATATCAACTGAATAGACTATTACATCAGCATTAGAGTTATAATTATAAAAACTGGAAAAATTTGTTCTTATTGATTGGTGGAGGGGAGCCCAGTAATAATTCTCTTACTGTGCATACTGAAGACAAAAGTGAAAGTCACTACTGACATGGAATAGTGGAATCATGGATAATATTTTTTCTGTATATAAATCTGAGGAGGAAGGAGGAACCAGCTATACTCGCAGTTGGACAATACTAGTTGTTGAACATTATAGACTCTAACACCTATGGTATATTTAAGCACCTATGGTATTTTATAATTTTTTTAAAGATTTTATTTATTGATTTGAGAGCGAGCGAGCATGGAAGAGAGGAAGGGGAGAGGGAGAAGCAGACTCCCCGCAGAGCAGGAAGCCTGACATGGGGCTAAATCCTAGGACCCTGGGATCATGACCTGAGCTGAGGGCAGATGCTTAACGACTAAGCCACCCAGGCACCCCCACCTACGGTATTTTAGATGAAAGTAAAGAGTTGAAAGAAAATAGGAATATCAGTGTCAAATGGCAAGTTATTAGCTTTCCTAGGGGAAGGATCTTTCACTGTGCCAGAACCTTACATAGACCACTCATGTTTCCAAAAGGTGCTGGAAAATGCAAGGAACACACCTTGAGAAACAAGCATATGCGATTTTTGCCACACCTTTGTCTATGGAGCCTTGTTCTGAGCTGTTGGTATCCTGTTTGTCTTACCCCTTCCTGATGCTTTATTTTTTTTTAAAGATTTTATTTATTTATTTGACAGAGAGAGACACAGCGAGAGAGGGAACACAGCAGAGGGAGTGTGAGAGGGAGAAGAAGGCTTCCTGTGGAGCGGAGAGCCCAACGTGGGGCTCAATCCCAGGACCCTGGGATCATGACCTGAGCCGAAGGCAGACGCTTAACGACTGAGCCACCCAGATGTCCCCTGATGCTTTATTTTTACCATAATACTTGTTTTAAAAGTTTGCCTGAATTTAGACAAATGTCTTCATTTTTTACATGTGAATTTATGTCTTACAACTCCTAATACATTTTGATTTCTTTTTATGGTCCTTCATCTTCTCCTTTACTGCATTCCATATAACAGACATAATTTAGATTAGGAGTTAATAACCAGGAATAACAGACATGGGTTTGAATTCTGACTCAGTTGTGTGACTTTGAGCGAACTGCTTATTTTTAATCTTTGGATACCTTCATTTATAAGATGGAAATAATAATACTCCATAGGGTGGGTAATTATGAGGTTTAAACTAAAGGAGATAATTCATGTAATGTACTGGTGTGGTATCTACTTCTAACATTAAACTTTCAGGTGATGACATATGAATATGCTATTTGAAATTCTAGTCAAAATTTCAACTACTAAGAAAAAAAGAAAAACTCACAACCTTTTATTTCTTCCAATATATTTGGTAGATCACATTTCCTTACAGAGAGTCATGGCTTAATGAAAAAGAGAACTCTCTGTATTTTTCTGTCCTGTCTTTGCCTTTTTAAAAAATATATTTTATTTATTAGAGAGAGAGAGAGAGAGTGTGTGTGTGTGTGTGTGTGTGTGCACGCACACAAGCACAAGTTGGGGGGGGCAGAGGGAGAGGGACAAATAGACTCCCTGCTGATCGCTGATGGGGAGCCCAATGCAGGACTGATACCAGGACCCTGAGATCATGTCCTGAGCCAAAGTCAGATGCCTAACGAACTGAGCCACCTAGGTGCCCCCGTCTTTGCCTTTTTAGAGATGCCCTGATTTCTTTCTAAAATGGAATTGTGTATAAATAAGTAGATATACCAAGTTCCCTTAATTCTAACACTGAAATGAAAATTTTCATTTACTAAAACTGGAGAAAAGACAGGGGAAAATGCATCTGTTCAATGCTGGCTTTCTGACTTTTTTTTTTTTTTTTTAAAGATTTTATTTATTTGACAGAGAGAGATACAGTGAGAGAGGGAACACAAGCAGGGGGAGTGGGAGAGGGAGAAGCAGGCTTCCCGCTGAGCAGGGAGCCCGATGCAGGGCTCGATCCCAGGACCCTGGGACCATGACCCGAGCCAAAGGCAGACGCTTAACAACTGAGCCACCCAGGCGCCCCCTGGCTTTCTGACTTTAATAGTCCAACAACCTCATTTCACCTAGTGAAGGCTGCAGAATGATCAAAATCAAAATACACGACTTTGTGATGCAGTTCATATTTAAACTTTTGGAAATAAAAATGAATCTCAGTTGAAAAGTTCAGGTAGGGAGAAAGGGGCATTTTAAAGAAATTAAATGTTGTGGCTTGGGCTCAGAATAACTATGGCTGGCAGAAAATCAAGGCTTTGTGTCTTTGGTACCGTCAGTGACTAGTGTAGGTTTTCTGAATGTGTTTTTTAAATGCTCCTTGAAATCGGTGAGTGTAATATGAGCATTCCTTGGACCTTATTTGAATTTATTTGAATTTCAACAGCTACCAACAGATGTGCTTAGAAGGAATAGGCTCCAATTCCCAAATAGCACAGTATTTCAAATCTATTTTAGACTCTGAAATGAGAGCCCATTCCAGGAAGACAGTTCTGAACTTTGCTCCCAGCTGCAGAAATACCTCCTCTTCTTGACCCCCGACCTACACCAAGGGAAGACACTTGAAAAGATGTTCTTTTGCCGACAATCATTTTACCATCGTAACCCACAAATGGAAAAATAAACTGTTGGCTCCTCTTCAGAAAACCTATTCTCACATTGCCCAGAACCAGGCAGATAAATAAAACCATAGAGTTCTTTTCATCCCCTTCTCATTTTCCAAAATGATCTTGTTATTTTTGTTACCTCGATGAGCTCAAAAAAATGGGCCTTATCTACTAACGGGTAAGTCATGTTAACCTTTTTCAAGGTAAGTTATTTTATCCAAGGTTCTAGGACTATCCCTCTCCCCCTATTCCTTGGGACTTAACTCCATTGGTTCTCATACTCACTTAACCGATTTGCTCTCCCTCCCCCTTTTCCCACCCCTCACTTTAGCAAATACAAGCCCTTCTCATTGGAAAATAGAAACCTCTAACCCGAATTCTTCTCTGCCTATTGCCCTATCTTATTTCTTCCCTTCACAACCAAGCTTCCAGAGCTCATAAATCCCTCCTAGGTCAAGTGGAAACTCTAGAACTTTGCTTTCAGATGTAATAACAACAACTTTATCAGGTGCCTCTCTATGCCAGGGAGTCATATAGGCCTTAGAATTTATTTATTTATTTATTTATTTATTTATTTATTTATTTATTTATTTATGAGGGAGAGAGAGGTGGGGAGGACAGGAGGAGAAGTAGAAAGAGAATCTCAAGCAGGCTACACACCCAGCAAGGAGCCAATAGGGGGCTCAATCTCACAACCCTGAGATCATGACCTGAACCGAAACCAAGTCAGACGCTCAACCCCACTGAGCCACCCAGGCGGCCTCATTTTTTTTTCTTGATTACAAAAATACATGAATAATTCATGTTTGTTACAACAAATCAAACAATACGGAAACAGATAACGACAGAACCAATGCCTCCCCTGCCTGAGCTCCGTATCTTATTTAATCGTCACAACCACCAGGAGAAAAGTGAGGCAGAGAAAGGCTCAGAGCGTGCCGCAGTGTTTAAGAGGAAGAGCTGGGGGTTCTGACTGCCTGGATTCCTATCTTGACTTTGCCATTTACTATGTGTCTGTGAGCAAATTACTTATTATTTCTGCACCTCAGTTTCATATCTGTAAAATGGGGCTAATGATAGTACCTAGCTCAGAGGGTTCAGTGAGGACATAATGCACCAAAACAAAAATATTGCTGTTTCTAGAGAAAAAAAGATGTTAAGAGATTATTTAAAAATGACAGCTGAGAAGAAAACACCAGGCATTAGAACAACATTCTGTCCACCATTCTGTAACTAGTATAGGGTCTAAAAGAAGTCTTTAAAGCAGTTGGCAGTATTGGCTCAAAAAATATGCTCTTGCAATGATGGCACCATTGATGCACTTTGTTTTTTAAAGTCACGTTATTTTTTTTTTTTAAAGATCCCACAATATTTCAAATTTTCATAAATAAATTTTGATTTGCTATAGTATCATTTTTAATCATTACTTTTATCTCAATCAGGCTAGAATGATTACATTTAACATTTACATATTACAAACATTTTCTATGTCATGTTTTATACTGTATTTTTCCATCTTTCTAATGGCTCTGTAGACCCCTGGGCTGACCTCTGTCACCCCTGCCATCTGGCTCTGCCACCCTGGAGCCGGTCTGCCAGGCCAGCCCCCGACACAGACCTTCAGCCTCTCCCAGATCCATCAGGCACCGTCATGAGTATTTGCTCTCTCTGAGTGCTGCATTACTAGAAAATCATTAAATCACAATTATTGACTTTCCCAGAGTAAATCATTACCCACACTCTGGTAACTAAAATATTTTCACTCCACTTCTCTCTATTTATATACTTTTTCTAAGAGGCCACAGAGAGATGACTGCTCCCTATAAAGCTACTTGGTTAATCACGCAAAGCCTCTTTCTCACCATTCCCTCTGCAAACACAGTTTCATGTGCTTTCTATGGGAAACTGAGGAAATGAACAAAGTGTGCAGCTCCCCCCTCCTCTACCCAACATTCTTTTCAGTCTTAAGCAAGTAACACGGTACTGAGGCCCTCAGCGTTCTATGCTGGATGGCCTAGCCCAAGGAACCATGGCTCTGCCAGATCAGTGGACAAACACACTTGTTTGAAGAATTCAGTCAAGAGTGAGAGATCCTTTTCAAAACAAGGACCAACTGCTCATTGAGATTTGAAGAGTCCAAGGGAAAGAAGATTATACAATTCACAGGCTCTCTTCATTCATCTTAAGTTTATCCGTTAAAAGAGCATGCTTTCCCTGTTTCCCAGGGAAGTCAAACACTCACAATTCTACGGTGTGCAGAACTGTGGTCACACTGTACTTCTCCTGAAAAGCCATCCTTCCTTCTTTCCTCATTTTTCTTCTTTTCTTCCTTCTCTTTTTCTCTTCTATCCCTCCCCATTCCCTCTTCCTCTCTTGTCACACCTCTGTCTCTGGTTGACTAGATGGTTCAGATATTTTGTATTATCTCTCTTTATTCCCCTTCCTAAAAAAAATTATATATATGTGTGTGTGTATATATATATGTATGTAGGTATATAGCCGAATGTTTCAAGTCCCAACTTAAAATCCTATTTTGTTCTTTTCAGTAGTTTCTAGTCCGTCTCCTCTAGGACACAAGCAGAATGAGAGACCCCAAGAGAAAATTACATTTCAAACTAAACTCAGTATGATCACTGCTCACTTTCCAATTAAAAAAAATAACATAAACATTCCTTATTTTTGATCAGCTAATGTATGTGTAACCTTCCTCTAGGCACTTTGAGAAAAAGAAAAATAGTAAAATACAGGGTCTGTGACATTGCAATTCTAAAGGTGTCTGCTTTCCCACTGATTTCAGCCAAAGGTGGCATTGCTATATAATTAACCTTGGCGCTAGAATACAGACCCAGCTTTAAATCCGTCATCAGTTTAGATCACCTAATGTCCTGCATTCATGCCACTCCAACTTCATTCCCCTCATTTCTTAATGATTTTAGCTCCTGGCTCCTTCTCACTGCTCTCTGATCTTACCGTTCTGCGATTTTAATATACACATCAGCGATCCTTCCCACGCTGGCCTCCTGGTTCATTGACCTCCTCCCCTGGAATGGCCTCACCCTCAGTCGGCCTCGTCCAAGCCCCACTTGGAAGGATGAGGATTCTGACCAATCCCTTGCAGTCCCCTCCCAGAACACTACGGCATCCTTCTAGCTCACTCTGGTACTTGGCCCCAGTGATCTTCAGTTCCCTGGGTCTTCCAGTGTATTGATCAGGCCACCATTTCACTGCCCCTCATCCCTGTATGTCCTCCACTCCTCCAGGCTTAAATTCTAAGATCAATTTTTGTCATCATTCTCTTGCCCTTCTTGCTTCAGCTCTAAATCTAACTCTGCTTTCTCATGCTGCGCCTGTACACTGAATGTAGCTGAAGAAAAATTCACAAGCAGGCTGATGGGCCTCACTTTAAATTCATGACCTTGAGCTCTCTCCTCAGAGTCCCACTGCCTCTTGCCTCATCCGCACTCAATTGATAATCTTGCTTTCCAAACTTGACTGGCAACACTGAAACAACCAGAAGAGAATTTCATAGATCCCACCACTTCTACCCACTGCCCAGCATACACACCCTCATCCTTTGCCTTCCTGCTGGTTCCCATGGGTGAACTTGTCATGCTCCTATAGGCAGCCTCCTCCTCCACTTAGGTACCAGATTCTATCTGCTCTTATCTATTCAAGGACATCTATCCACTGATTCTCCTTCCTCTCCCCCACATCATTAATTTTTGCTCCCTACTAAATCACTGACATCAGCATGTACACATACTTCTTTTTGTCCCATTTTAAAAACATTTTCTTTGACCCACTTTCTCCACCAGCCATCATCCCACTTCTCTGAAGCAAAACTCCCCAAGAGTCATGTATTCTTGCTGCTTTCACTCTCTCCCTTTCCATTTCCTCTTAAACCCATTATAGCTAAGCTGTCACCCTCCCACTCTTCCAAAACTGTTCTTGTCAAGTGATGATCCCATTTCTCTATTTCCTTTTGGAGCAGATTCCTCAAAAGGATTGTCAATATTCACTGTCTCCAATTTCTTTCCTCTAATTCCTTTTAAAACCCATTCTAACCACCACTATTCCACTGAAAGTGCTCTTACTGAGTCACCAGTGACTCTTTTTGTTGTAAAATTCAATGGTCAATTCTCAGACTTCATTTTACTTGACCTGTCAGCACCATGTCACACAGTTGAACACTTTCCTTTATACCTCTGGCTGCCAGCACACTGCGCACTCTCATATTCCCTCCTACCTCACTGATCTCTCCTTAGTCGTCTTCTCCTTGACTGTGTAATTTTGGAGGCCCCAGGGCTTAGACTATCAATACTCACATTCTTGGTGATTTCATCCAGCTCTATGGCTTTAAATATCATGTATGCTGATTATTCCCAAATATGTAGCCCTGTCCCAGACCTCTTGTGAGCTCCAAATTCCTAATGCCTACTATCTCAACTCTGTTGTTCAACAGTGATTTTAAATTTAACTCATCCAAAAGCAAACTTCTGATTCCCCTGTGGAGAGTTGTCCCACCACGACCTTCCCCTCTCTGCTTCTGGCAATTCCATCTTACCAGCTACTGAGGTCAAAATCCATGGAGTCATCCTTGACTTCTTTCTTTTTCTTATTTCCCCTATCCAATTCATTTCCCTATACCATTATAGGGCATCTACCATCCACCTCCCTTGCTACCACTTGATCTGGGAAATTTCTTTCACCTGGATTACTTTGATAGCCTTCTAAAAGATCTCCCTACATCTACTACTGCCCCCATCCAATCTATTCCTCATGCAAGAGCCACAGCGATCCATGCAAAACCTAAGTCAGATTCTGAGTTCTCTGTTCAAAATCCTGAAATGGCTTTCCATTTCACTAAGAGCAGAAACCAAACATCTTATAGTATCATATTAGACCCTACTTGATCTGGCCTCTCTCATTCAGTCTGCTCCAATCACATTGATCTCCTTGTTATTTCTCGAACACCCTAGGCATGCTCCCGTCTTAGGGCCTCCACTTGGCTCTTCTCTCTTCCTAGAATGCTGTTCTCTAGATTATCCACTAGCTAACTCTCTCATCTTTGAATCTCTGCCAAAATCTTACCTTTTCAATGAGACTTCCTCTGACCACCCTATTTAAAACTACTACTCCCCACTCCCAACCCCAGAACCCTCAATCCCCTTATTCAACTCTTACTGTTCCTTTTCCTTAACATTCATCACTTTCTGGTATGATTTACTGTTTACTTGTTATTCATTGTTTTTCTCCTCTGTTACAAACTCCAAGAGGGAAGAAATCTTTGTTCTATTTACCAGTATATCCTAAGGGCCTAGAAGAGTGCCAGGTATACCACAGGTACACAATAAATATTTAATGTTTAGTAGGTTAAGTATTCCTTAAAGGTATGGTAGTATTTGTCTCAAGACCATTTCAGCCTCATGCTGTTTTTGTGGTAAGATTCTTTTCAAACTTTTGATTCAATTTATTTATTGTTTCTATGTCTATTTAGGTTTTGTATTGCATTTCAGTGTGAATAAGTTATACATGCCATGAATATATTTCATCCTGGTTTGAAAATGCACTGGCATAAAAGTTGTCCAACATGCTCTCTCATATTTCTTTAGATCACTACTAAAGATCTAACTTATGATTATATATTTCATTCCAAGTACTGTTAACTCATTCTCTCTCCTTTTACTGTTAATCTTTGGTTGATACTCTACTGTCATTCATTTTTCTCTTCTTACAGTCCTCATTACCTTTTCTCTACTTTCTTTGGCCTAACTCTGCTGGTCTTTTACACATTACTCAAGTTATACTCTTTGATGAGTGATATAGTGCTCACCAGTACTTCTAGTTTCCTTCGTCCAGGCTCAGGGGACAGTAACACTTACCTGACCTTTTGAAGCTGGGCAAGGCCATCTGACTGGCTCTGGCCAATGATATATGCCACATGCCACTTTTGATGGAAACATTTAATGCATGGGGAAGTGATGGTCTTTTCAATAGACAGTGTCTGGTCAATTCAATAGTCATATGGAAAAAACAAATCTTGACTCCTCTCATACCATTCGCAAAAGCCAATTTCAGATCGATTGTAGTTATAAAAGTGAAAGATCTTAGAGAGGGAAGATTTCTTAAACAGCACAAAGAGCCCTAATCTAAAGGGGAAAATGATAAATTGGAATACATTACAATTTACAACTTTTGTTCATCCAAAGACATCCTTAATATAGAGAAAAGCAACTCAGAAAGGGAGACGATATTTGCAAGACACCTTTCTGAAAACAGATTTGCATCTAGCACTTGTAAAGGATTCCTATAAATCAATAAGAAAAATATGGAATACTCAATAGAAAAATGGGAGAAGACTCAGACACTTCATAAAGAGGATATCAAAATGGCCCCAAAACACATGAAAAGGTTTTCACTTTGTTACACATTAGGTAAATGCAACTTAAAACCACCATGTGATACCACCACACACCGACAAGCAAATAAGAAGGATGACAGAAGTTATGGAAACAGACGGTCATGAGACTGACCCATGGAGAGCCTGGAAGCAGCCTCTGGGCAACTGCTAGCAGCCTGAAAAAATGGCTTTCAGTGTGAAGAGCCACATGGCCCTGTTGGGAACAAGGGCCTAGAAATCCAGGGCTCAGGGAGGCTGGGGTCTGAAGTGATGACGGGCAAAGGCCAAGGAAATAAAGACTGAGGGTGTGCCATCTTCCCAGGAGCAGTAGATGAGGAGGAGGGGGCTGAAGTGGTGGAGCAGAAGCCAGGAGGTAAAGAAATGGAAATGGTGAAGGAAAATATGGTGGTAAATGAGGTGAAGGTCAAGGCAGGTCCCTGGTCCCTGAACGTGGATGCCCACGCGAGCTCCCTGGAGGCCATCCAACTAGAAGTGGAGACTGAATGCTCAGGCTGACAGAGCCGTACTACAGTTACAGCACAAGTGTGGTCAGGTATGTCAACACTTCCTAGAGCAGAGGAACTGCATTGTTCAGAATATCCCCAGCTTCTGGGTCAGTGCCTTTTGGAACCATCGATAGCTGTCCACCCTGATTAGAGGCCAAGAAGCAGATATGTTAAGGTACATAGCCAATTTGGAGACACCCTAGGGTGGGCTTCAAGTTCTAGTTCTTTCAAAGAAACCCACAGTGCAGAAACAAGCTGATTGTCGAGGAATATGTCAGATCATCCGACCAAGTGGAGCCTCTTGCCACTCCAATCATAGGGCACCCAGGCCATGAACTCTAGTCTTCCATTCATAGGAATCGAGACGTCACCTGCAGCTTCTTCAGTTGGTTTTCAGACCACAACCTTCCAGAGCCTGACACAATTGCTGAGATTATCAAAGAGGACCTCTGACCAAATCCACTTGAATACTGCCTATTGTGTGAAGGGGCCCATAGAGTTAGACTCTGCCAGATAAGGAAGCCAATGGGGATCCCTCTGGGTTCCAATCTGGTTAACCTCTGCCCTTGGAAGTACTCCCATACAAGATCCCCTACCACTTCCTGCTGGACCTGTGCCTTGGCAACAGCACTGGGTATGCCTATTACTCTTTGTGTACTGATCTTTCTGCACCCTGCTTCCTTTGAAAACTCACTCTCTCAACTGCAGGATTGAGACCTTCATGGCTGTTCTGCATTAACATTACATGCTCTGTGGCACGGTTCACACTCTTCTAAGTCAAACAAATGATGCTATACACTGCACTGTCTTTATCTATAATGCTTGCACCCTGTTTGTTCCCAGGACCTCTAGTCTGGTTACTACCACCTGGATTTCTAGCTTTGTTCAGGAGCCTGTTGTTTTGTTTTTTAATTTTAATGTATTTTTAAATTTAAATTCAATTAATCAACATATAATGTATTATTAGTTTCAGAGATAGAGGTCAGTGATTCATCAGTCTTAACACCCAGTGCTCATGATATCATGTGTCCTCAAAAGCGTGTTTGACACACTCTGCTCATCACTGTGGACAACTGCTGGGCATTAATCAAGCCCAGGGTGAACGGCAGTGTACCACTTGTTCCTATGTGATGTATCCAACTCCATTGGTCTTCCTGCCCTTCCAGTCACTGAGTGCTGCCTGCTCCTGGCTATACACCCCCCTTGGGCTGCTGCCTGATGGATGTACAATTTCCAGACCACTGTCAGCTCCACTTTGTTTTTGATCAACCCTGATCTTCAGAAGTGTTGGTAGACCTAGGTTCCCTGCCAGCCCAGAAAAGGCATTCCTATTTCTCCCCTCAAAGACCTTAATTCCACACCACCACAACCATCACTCAGGCACTACTGACTGTCTGGCTGTGGTTGAGTGGACAAGTTAGAGCCAATTCACACAGCAAGGATAACAGTAATGTCTTTGGTGAGAAAGTTTTCTTAGCCTCGCCCAGTGAATTCATACAAAATGTAGGGACTCTGATTGGCCTCCTTTCTTCGTCCTCAACATGATCAAGTGTCAGAGGTGCCAGGGTGGTGTACTCTTTCTCTTTCTCCTCCTCCTCTCCTTCTGTTTCTCATCCCTCTTTCATATCTCTTCTACCTCTTTTTAAAAGTAGTAGCGCCCCCTCAGGGCACCTGGGTGGCTCAGATGGTTAAGCGTCTGCCTTCGGCTCAGGTCATGATCCCAGGGTCCTGGGATGGAGTCCTGCATCGGGCTCTCTGCTCCTTGGGAGCCTGCTTCTCCCTCTGCCTCTCTCTCTCTCTCTCTGTCTCTCATGAATAAATAAATAAAATCTTTAAAAAAAAAAAAAAAGTAGTAGCGCCCCCTCAAAAAAAAAAAAAGGTAGCCCAGACTCATCTGCAGAAGCAGGCTCTTTAGTTTAATCTAGCTCTCTTGTCATCTCCAGAGGCAGAGCGGGTGTCCTTTCAAGGAAACTTCGGGAGCTCTTATTGCCCCTCTGCGCTCTTCCAACCCCTCCCTCCCTTAGCAATGACTACAGGGCTCAAAGGAAGACCAGTCCACAGGGAAGGAAAAGTGTTTCCAGTTCAGAATGGATGAAAGGAACCAAAGAGATTGTGGTTGGTGCCCTAAGCAGGGAAAACTGAATGAAAGGCCAGATGCAGGACTGAGTCTGAAATGCAGGGCCTAGAATTAAGACCGGGTCAACTGTGAGCCTGCAAGGACAACTTGCTCTGGGAGTGGTGATGGGAGGAGGAATACTGTTCTCAGGACTGGCCTGGGAGAACTGCAGGTTGCTGAAGCATTAACTCTGTTGCCTTGCAAAGGGTTCTCTAAAGAAAAACAGTGCCATGTTGACTGTTTTCTCTCTTGTCTTCATGTGATCTTGTTTATGTGGAAGATTAATACAATACTACTGTGCCCTTAATTTCACTAGTATTTAGTAAAATCTATTACTTTCTCTGCTTCTGCTTACTGGGAAGATTTGGCAGTATAGATTTTATTTTCAATTGGGAACATTTGGAAGAATATCCATCTCTTTCCTGTATACCATGGAGAGTTCTGTGAATATTCTTAACAGTTTCACCTTGTTTCCGTTAAAATTATCTTTAGAAATGCAATTTGAATAACTTGGTCTTGTCAGAAGCTGAAGACTTCAGAAATTGTTGTCTTCATGGAAAAATTCCCTAACAAAAAATTTGTGGCTCTGATTGTCTTGACAATTTACCCTGGTAACAGCTTAGTCATTGATGTATCTCTTTTTCTAAATAGCAAAATGACTTGTGAGATTGCTCTGTAAAATTGGAAGGGTACCATTGGCATATTTATCTTTATTTATACACATTATGGCAAAATCAAAGCATGTCAGCCTGAAAAAACAGTTAAACTAAAAAGATGGAAAATAAAAAGGGTGGAAAGTACACAGAGAAACCAGAATGGTATAAGAGTAGCCTGATACGAATACTTTAGACAACTGTTTGGCAGGCTCTATGCACACCCTCTGATCCAGCTCTGGGAATATTCCCAACAGAAATGCATATATGTATTCACAAAGACCTGCATAGAAATGTTTTTAACAGCACAATTCTACTAGCTAACACTGGGAACTGCCCCAATATTCACCACTGGTTGAAAAAATAAACAAGCTTTAAATATTCACACCATGGAATACTGTGAGAAATAAAGAACTATGCCTACATGTAGTAATATGAATGAATCTCACAAACATGATGTTGGATAGAAGAAGCCAGACTCAAGAGTATGTGCTATATAATTCCATTTCTGTATGAAGTTTAAGAACAGGTGCACTTGACCTATGGTGGTAGAAGTCCAAACAGTCATCACTACCAAGAACAGTGAAGATTCTGGTATCTGACCCCCTACTTACAAACTTAGCATGTTATCCTGCCTAGTTAGCAGATGCTGAGTCAGAGACAAAGGACCTTACAGCTCAACAGCCAGTGTCAGTATTTCTACCCATCTCTTGAGCCCTTTGAAAACTCTTAATCTGCAGCATGACGAAAGCCACGTGACACCTGCACACACAGTGGGCTGCGTTAGAGGAGAGGTACCCTGGCCTGAAGGAAAGTGAATCCTTGGGCGCCTGGGTGGCTCAGTCGTTAAGCGTCTGCCTTCGGCTCAGGTCATGGTCCCAGGGTCCTGGGATTGAGTCCCACATCGGGCTCCCTGCTCCACGGGAAGCGTGCTTCTCCCTCTCCCATTCCCCCTGCTTCTGTTCCTGCTCTCTCTCTCTCTCTGTCAAATAAATAAATAAAATCTTAAAAAAAAAAAAAATTATTAAAAAAAAAAAGTGAATCCTTTATAATGGGAATTAAGCATGTCTGCCCTTTGCTTTGAAGGCAGACATTATCTTTATTATACTGAACAGCAAGGAAACCCATAGGAGACAAAATCTCTACTTTTTCAAGGCTGTAAGCAAACCTGCCCTTTGCTCTGGAGGGAAACACCATTTCTGTCTTCCAAGGCTATTCACGGATATCCTTGAAAAGATACTCTGAACCAAGGCAGTTAGTGTTTCTGCTTCCAAAAGTGCAGAAACATCAGAGACCCATGATAATTATCTTCCAACAGTTTTGGAGGGTGGGTACCTATTGACTGGAAGGGACTATGATGGTGGATTCTAAAGGACTGGAGATGTCCTATGTCTTAATCTGGGTGCTGGATACCTGGGTGTATTCAATTTGTGAAACTTCACTGAGTTGTATACCTGTGAAACACACTGCTATATGTATATTATCCTTTAATGAAATACACCTGAGAAAAGCAAAAAAATAGAAATCCAAAGTAAACTAAGGAAAATAAAACAATAGAAAAAATTAAAAACAACAAAACAAAACCTGATCATTTTTCTGGAACCTCTACACTAGAAAATGACTGGCTAATTCAAAAGTATGTTTCAGATCTTTTTGGGTAGGCAATGATTCCATATCTGAGAATTCTAATGGGTTCATTTTCTGTGTCACATTCAAATGGCTAAAATCCATTTTCTAAGGATAAAAGTACTCAATTATCTAGGTATGGGCCATCAACTTTTAGTATGTTTACTGAACCTGTTCATTTTGTCAACTGACTTTTATCAGAGTTTTTCACTTATAAACAGTTCATTAATCATGGCTTGTGATAGTTCATTTCTTTTTCCATCGTGGTAAGTGCACTCTTTAATCCTTACCACATATTTCATCCACCTCCCCTCTGGTGAACCATCAGTTTGTTCCCTATATTTAAGAGTCTGTTTCTTGGTTTGTCTTTTTTTTCCTTTGCCTGTTTGTTCTGTTTCTTAAATTCCACATATGAGTGAAATCATCATATGGCATTTGTCTTTCTCTGACTTATTTTGCTTAGCATTATACTCTGTAACTCCATCCATGTCACTGCAAATGGCAAGATTCATTCTTTTTTATGGCTGAATAATATTCCATTGTATATACATACCACCATCTTCTTTATCCATTCATCAGTTGAGGGACACTTGGGCCATTTCCATAATTTGGCTATTGTAAATAATGCTGCAATAAACATACAGGTGCATGTATCCCTTTGAATTAGTGTTTTTGGATTTGGGGGGTAAATACCCAGCAGTCCAATTACTGGATCATAGAGTAGTTCTGTTTTAATCTTTTAAGTAACCTCCATACTCTTTTCCACAGTGGCCACACTAGTTTGCATTCCCACCAACTGTGCAAGAGGATTCCTTTTTCTCCACATCCTCATCAATCCTTGTTTTTTTGTTTTTTTAAGTCATTCTGACAGGTGTGAGGTGATATCACATTGTAGTTTTGATTTGTATTTCCCTGATGATGGGTGATGTTCAGCATCTTTTCATGTGTATGTTGGCTATCTGGATGCCTTCTTTGGGGAAATGTCTGATCATGTCTTCTGCCCATTTTTAATTGGATTATTCATTTTTTGTGTGTTGTGTTTTATAATTTCTTTATATATTATAGATATTAACCCTTTATTGGATATGTCATTTGCCAATATCTTCTCCCATTCCATAAGTTGCCTTTTAATTTTATTGATTGTTTCCTTCTGCAGCAGCTTTTTATTTTAATGTTGTCTCAATAGTTTATTTTTCCTTTTATTTCCCTTGCCTTAGGGGATATACCTAGAAAGATGTTGCTATAGTCGATGTCAGAGATATTACTGCCTATGTTTTCTTCAAGGATTTTTATGGCTTCAAGTCTCACATTTAGTTCTTTAATCCGTTTTGAGTTTATTTTTGTGTATGGTGTAAAAAAGTGGTCTAGTTTCATTATTTTGCATGTATATGTCCAATTTTCCCAACACCATTTGTTGAAGAGACTGTCTTTTTCTAATTGTTTACTCTTTCTCTTTCCTCTTTTGTCAAAGATTAATTGACCATATAATTATGGGTTTATTTCTGGGTTTTTTATTCTGTTCCATTGATCTATGTGGCTACTTTTATGTCAGTACCATACTGTTTTAATTATTACCACTTTGTAATGTAAGTTGAAATCTGGAATTGTGATACCTCCAGTTTTGTTTTTCTTTTTCAAGATTGCTTTGGCTATTCAGGGTCTTCTGTGATTCCATACAAATTTTAGGATTCTTTGTTCTAGTTCTATGAAAAATGTTGGTATTTTGGGAGGGATTGCATTAAATCTGTGTATTTCTTTGGATAGTATGGACATTGTAACACTATTCATTCTTCCAATCCATAAGTATGGAATGTCTTTCCATTTCTTTGTGCCATCTTCAATTTCTTTCATCAGCATTTTATAGTTTTCAGAGTACAGGTCTTTCATCTCTTTGGTTAAATTTATCCCTAGATATTTTATTGGTTTTGGTGTAATTTTAAGTGACATTGTTTTCTTAATTTCACTTTCTGCTGCTTCATTATTAGTGTATAGGAATGCAACAGATTTCTGTACATTGATTTTGTATCCCACAGTTTTACTGAATTTGTCAGTTCTAGTAGTTTTTTGGTGGGGTCTTTAGGGTTTTCTATATATAATATCATGTCATCTACAAACAGTGAAAATTTTACTTGTTCCTGACCAATTTGGATGCCTTTCTTTTTCTTGTCTGATTGCTGTAGCTAGGACTTCTAGTACTATGTTGAATAAAAGCAGTAAGAGTAGACATCCTTGTCTTATTCCTGACCTTAGGGGAAAAGCTCTCAGGTTTTTCCTATTGAACATGATGTTCACTGTGGGTTTTGCATATAAAGCCTTTAATATGTTATGTTCCCTCTAGAGCTACTTTGTTGAGAGATTTTATCATGAATGGATGTTGTACTTTGTCAAATGCTGTTTCTGCATCTATTGAAATGATATGATTTTTATCCTTTTTTTTTTTTAAAGATTTTATCTATTTACTTGACAGAGTTAGCAAGAGCAGGCACACAAGTGGGGGAGTGGGAGGGGGAGAAGCAGGGAGCCTGATGTGGGGCTCGATCCCAGGACCCTGCGACCATGACCTGAGCTGAAGGCAGACGCTTAATGACTGAGCCACCCAGGCGCCCCTATCCTTTCTCTTATTGATAAGATATATCACATTGATTGATTTGAGAATATTGAACCACACTTGCATCCTGGGAATAAGTCCCACTTGATCATGGTGAATGATTTTTTGAATGTATTGTTGGATTTGGTTTGCTAGTATTTTGTTGAGGATTTTTGCATCCATATTTATCAGAGATATTGGCCTGTAGTTCTTTTTTTGAGGTGTCTTTATCTGGTTTTGATATCAGGGTGATACTGGTCTCATAGAATGAATTTGGAAGTTTTCCTTCCTCTTGTACTTTTTGGAATAGTTTGAGAAGAATAGATATTAACTCTTCTTTAAATGTTTGGTAGAATTTGCCTGTGAAGCCGTTGGATCCTGGACTTTCATTGGTTGGGAGCTTTTTGATGACCGATTCAATTTCATTGCTGGTAATCAGTTTGTTCGAATTTTCTATTTCTTCCTGATTTAGTATTTGGAAGATTATATGTTTCTAGGAATTTATCCATATCTTCTAAGTTGTCCAATTTGTTGGCATATAATTTTTCATAACATTCTCTTACAGTTGTTTGTATTTCTGGTGTTATTTCTCCTCTTTTTTTTGCCTTTGTTTTTGTTTATTTGGGTCCTCTTTTTTTTTTTTTTTATGAGGTGATAGTTCATTTCAAAGTTCAGCTCTGCCAGCCAAATAAATAAAACCTGTGTATAATTTAGTTCTATTGTTCAGCAATAGATGATGCTAGTCTCAGGATGGGCCCCATTATGTACTTGCTCATTAGGATGGTCTTTATTAAAGTTTCATAGCCTTTCTTTTCAGGGCTCCCTCTTTGAGGTATAAGTATTTCAATTGATAATTAAGAGTTAAGAACAGTTTTAAGCCACACCTTTGGCACATTCCATAGAAGACTGTCATTAATAACAAAATCTTCTGTTAAAAATGTAAAGAAAAAATTTGGTTTGGCTTATTTGAGCAAAATTTTTCCATTTCTGTATATAACAAGGTATTGTGGATAATAAAAATAGTTCAGTGTTGAAAATGTAGATTTCTTTTTTACATAAGGGATACAAAAACTTTTAATAATAAACAAGATTAACTTATTGCCTTTGAAGCATAAGGTAGAAATTAGGCTTTTCAAAATGCCTACTATCAATTCATATCACACATTATAATTTTAAATGGCATCCATTTGGATGGCTTGCCCTGTGTTTTCCAATGGCAAAATTTTCTCTTTGCTACTAGTAGCTAGAAGCATAGGGCATATAGGACACTTTGATTCATGTAAAGGTGTCCAAAATTCAAGTTTAGTCTGTCTTACCATGATGGATAGGGATGAGAAAGGTGATAGCTGGGATTTTTGAATCTCGCATTAAACAAGGGTCCAGAGCATTAAACTAATAGTGCACCGAGTTAGAGGTGGGGGCACCTTGGTTCTAGGGGACTCTGCCCTAAATTGTAGGCAAATCCCTTAATTCCAAAGATAGTTCTATTCATCTTCTAAATCTGTAGATTTACCTGCCCCTTAAAAATAAATTTTCCAGAAAGTTCTATGCCTTTGCCTGGCTTGCATTCTCTGTACTTTTCCTGGGTAACCTTAGCCACTGTCATAGCTTCTGTCATCACCTTTGAAAAAAGGACTGTGAAATTGCAATCTTCAACCCTTACTCTAGATCAGGGTCTGATATGTCCATTTGTACAATGTTTTCAAAATTGCTCTATTCCCTCTGATCTGGGTTTCACTACAACATCTCTTGCTACATTACTGGAAATCTCTAGACTGCCTCTCCTAAATCTTTCTTTTCCCAACATTCACCCTATTGACAAAGTGATCAAGTCCTTTTTGCCCAGAAATCCTTGTCAGCACACCACTGCCTGCAGAACATAGTCCCAACACCTTGCTACTGCACTTAAGGTCAGTTACAATGAAGCCCCCACCCAATAATCTTGCTGGATCCCACGCATAGGGCTCATGCACTGTCCTGCTTCTGTGCCTTTCCCTCATCTTAGATTTTCTTCCCTCCCTCCTTACCTATGGAAATCCTATCAAAATTCAATTCAAATGCCATCTCTTCAAAAAAAAAAACTAAACATCCCAAACCCCCTACCTCCTGCAGCATACACTTTGTAGGCACTTATTTCATACAAACTTATACTGTAGTTCTTTATATATGTTACTTGGTTATATAGGTCTTCATTACTCAATTTTAAGTTATTTAAGGGCCAAGATCATGTTTTAGTTATCTTTTTCTTCTGTAATGGATAAGACACTGTGCCGTCCTCAAGTAGCCTAGAGTCTAGCACAGGAGACAATATACAGTGTGAGAAATGCTAAAATAAGAACAAGCACAGAATGCCATGGGACCACATGAGAACGGTGTTTCCCCAAGCTGAAGTTAAGGAGTGTCAGGGAAGGCTTATATTATTATAAGAAGTGGCTTTCAAGTTCCTTTGTAGACACCATACTAGACTATAAGCTTCTTCAGAGATTTATCTTTTTATCTCTGTATCTGTAGGGATACATATTTTATGTCTAGCACAAAATAGACACTCCAAAATTAATGAATGTGTCAAAAAAAAGATGCCCAAGTCATTTATAGTTCTAAATGTGTAGAGTGAATCATATTAGTCCTTTGTACTTTTTTATCCTACTTATCAGATGGTCAATAAATAATAATTGGCTAATGAAAACCTCATAAAAAAGTTAATGACTTATTTTTTAGGCTTGAGGTTTTAGGTAAGTTTTAACTGGCATAGCTACCCAAATAAGTCCTAAGAAAGAAGAGCCAGAGCAGAGACTTCAGTCAAATCATTACATATACCTTAATTCCAAGTCTCAGAGAGGATGAGAGAAAATACGAGGATAGAACTGAATCACTGTACTAATGACTTTGGTTAGAAGATGTTTATGAACTTTATGTAAATCCAAAGCTTGATTCATGGTAATATGATCTACTTGTAATTATTTTCAATGATGATGATTTTGGTAAAATAAGCAATATATTTTGCAGGTTTCTGTTATTAGAATAAGTTGATTTGAGGGGCAGCAGCTCCTGCCCATGAGTCCTGTCCCCGTGCTTTAATAAACCACCATTAAAAAAAAAAAGAAGAAAGAAAGGAGTGTATGTGGATAAATGAGCTGTTTTGAAATTACAGGTCCAAATGGTATCAAAACTGTGATATTTGCTCCTTAATCTCTAAATTCATCTAAGTTAAAAAGAAAACAGACCTTATTACAGTCCTTAACAATAGACTATACTAATAATAGCTCTCATTTATTAAGTCCCTACATCATGGTACCACTGTGCTAAGCATTTTATGTGCATTATTCTCTTAATTTTCATACAACCCTACAAGGTATTCCTGTTCCCATTTTGCAAATGAGGAAAATGGGGCTCAGTTGAGATACTTGTGTTTGGTCACTCACCAAGGTAGTAGTAAAGCCAGGATTCAAACCCAAGTCTGACTCCAGAGTCTCATAACTGTATAGGGATAGAAATCTTATCTTTTGTTTTATAGTAGAAAATTATTAATCAAGATAATCTGCCAATGGTTTAGATTTTTCCCATTTGTGTACAAAATTTTTTAGTATATAAAACATTTACTAATTTTGATGATTAATGAAAATTCCAACAACAAAGGATAAGTGTAAAATCAGAAGAACAGTACTAACAATACATTATCATTTGTTTTTCCTTTAACGATTATCAACCATATTATGACCTAATGTCTTCTGAAATCTGAATACCACCCACAAATGACTTTAAGATATAGTGGCATTTACGGCACATCTACTGTTGGTTCAAGTCACTTTGCTAAAGGCACTGTCACAGCTGTATCATATTTTTAGATATTCAGGTGACTCCAACAAGCTTTCTGTCCCTAAGTAAACAGCAGGATTTGGAAGACAATGCACTTTGTCCAGGAAGACCAAATAACAGAGGTCTTTTCGGGTGGGGAAGGGATTATGTCACTGTCTAGAAATCTTTGATAAACTTGGCTCCCCAGCAATGGCAGGCTGGGGAAGGAACGCACAGCCAAGCAACACATGTGAGGTCCCAGAAATGTGATACAAAGAGAAGTGTAAAATGGAAAAATCTCAAGGACAAAGCACAATGGAAGAGAAAAATAGTGTAAGAGAAATTTTCAATATTAGTTGTATATACCCAAAAGAACACTGGTGTGAGACCGAAGAGACTGTGATTTTTAGTTCTAGCTTGTTTTTCAATCTAATTTTGGGACTTCTGGCAAGGGGAGTGTAATCTCCCTATGGTTGGAATTTATTACTCATGATGAGAGGGAGGTGGACTAGAAAGTCTTTAAGTTTCCTTTTAGAGCTTTGATCCTATCATGCTAGGGAGGCTGCAGATACACATCCCTGGGGCTTTACTACTACTTAGAAATATGGTTGAATATTATACCACACACATAGACTCAAAATGGTTGAAAGACCTTAATGTGAGACAGGAATCCATCAAAATCCTAAAGGAGAACACAGGCAGCAACCTCTTCGACCTCAGCCACAGCAACTTCTTCCTAGAAACATCGCCAAAGGCAAGGGAAGCAAGGGCAAAAATGAACTATTGGGACTTCATCAAGATAAGAAGCTTTTGCACAGCAAAGGAAACAGTCAACAAAACCAAAAGACAACTGACAAAATGGGAGAAGATATTTGCAAATGACATACCAGATAAAGGGCTAGTATCCAAAATCTATAAAGAACTTATCAAACTCAACACCCAAAGAACAAATGATCCAATCAAGAAATGGGCAGAAGACATGAACAGACATTTCTGCAAAGAAGACATCCAAATGGCCAACAGACACATGAAAAAGTGATCAACATCACACGGCACCAGGGAAATCCAAATCAAAACCTCAATGAGATACCACCTCACACCAGTCAGAATGGCTAAAATTAACAAGTCAGGAAATGACAGATGTTGGCAGGGATGTGGAGAAAGGGGAACCCTCCTACACTGTTGGTGGGAATGCAAGCTGGTACAGCCACTCTGGAAAACAGTATGAAGGTTCCTCAAAAAGGTGAAAATAGAGCTACCCTATGACCCAGCAACTGCACTACTGGGTATTTACCCCAAAGATACAAATGTAGGGATCCGAAGGGGTACGTGCAGCCCGATGTTTATAGCAGCAATATCCACAATAGCCAAACTATGGAAACAGCCAAGATGTCCATCGACAGATGAATGGATAAAGAAGATATGGTATATATATACAATGGAATATTATGCAGCCATCAAAAGGAATGAGATCTTGCCATTTGCAACGATGTGGGTGGAACTGGAGGGTGTTATGCTGAGCGAAATAAGTCAATCAGAGAAAGACATGTATCACATGACCTCACTGATATGAGGAATTCTTAATCTCAGGAAACAAACAGGGTTGCTGGAGTGGAGGGGGGTGGGAGGGATGGGGTGGCCGGGTGATAGACATTGGGGAGGGTATGTGCTATGGTGAGCACTGTGAATTGTGTAAGACTGTTGAATCATAGACCTGTACCTCTGAAACAAATAATACATCATATGTTAAAAAAAAAAGAAGAAGATAGCAGGAGGGGAAGAATGAAGGGAGGGAAATCAGAGGGGGAGATGAACCATGAGAGACGATGGACTCTGAAAAACAAACTGAGGGCTCTAGAAGGGGCGGGGGTGGGAGGATGGGTTAGCCTGGTGATGGGTATTAAAGAGGGCACATTCTACATGGAGCACTGGGTGTTATACACAAACAATGAATCATGGAACACTACATCAAAAACTAATGATGTAAATGTATGGTGATTAACATAACAATAAAAAATTTTTTAAATGAATTTAATAAAGCAGAAATAAATGGGTATCTTCTTAACTTGATAAAATATACCTTGGCCCCAAAGTGACCACTGTGCTTCCTGGGCAACAGTAGAGGTATTCCCACTCAAGTAAGGAACAAAGAAGGACATTCACATTCACTTGTCACCACTATTACTTAACAGTACTTGATGTTAGACAATACAGTTAATAAGAGAAAATAAGTAGAGATACAGAAATGTAGAGAAGGAAATAAAAATATCACCATTTGTTATTGTGGGAAACCTGAGATATTCAACTGAAAAAGTACTATAAACAAAAAAAATTAATAAAGTAACATGATATAGAATTACTAGAGAGAGATCAGTAAATTTCAGGTGAACAAACACAGCAAATTAGAAGAGGAAATGAAGGAAGAAAGGATGTAAGTAAAGGATGAAATATCTAAGAAAAATAACTTTAGAAATATTTAAGATTTACAAATACACAAAGACGTGTAGAAAAGAAATGGCATAACAAGTTCTTAGATAGGAAGTATCAAACTCAAAGTGATCAGTTCTTCCTAAGAAAAATTTAAAAGTTATTATAATTAAAATAAACAAGTCCAAAAATTGAGGAAGGGTCAGAGAGAGACAAATTCTAAAGTACATTAAAAAACAATAACAACAATTTGAAGGAAATTCCCCAAAAAAAGAGTAGAAATGTGGGGGTGCCTGGCTGGCTCAGTCAGTAGAGCATGCAACTCCTGATCTTGGGGTCGTGAGTTCAAGCCCTACATTTGGGGTAGAAGTTACCTAAAAAAAAAAAAAAAAAAAAAAAAAAAGCAGAAATGAGGGGATGTATTCCTAATACTTACTATAAATTAACGTAAAGCTGCAATAATTAAAAGTGTAATCTTGACACGATAATAGATGAATCAATGGAATGCAAACGGAAATCTAGAAATAGGCCCTACTGCATACAGAACTTGGTGTAGGATAAACATGGTATCTGAAATCATTGAGGAAAAGACAACTCAAAAAACTCTAAAAACTGGAGAGACATTTTTAGTAAAATTAATTTGGATTTATGCCTCATAATGTACACCAGGTGAATTTCAAAGAATATTTAAATTTTTAAAAATGAAATAAAAAAAACTAGAAGAACACAAAAGGGGATTTCTTTATTAACTTGGAATGGGGAAGACTTTCTCTTATTTGAAGTCTGGAGACATTAAGGAAAAAATTGATACATACATAAAGGATAATAGTGATAAATAAATGTAGTTCATGAAAAAAATTTAAAATCTACATGGTCAACATCCATTCATGACAAAAACTCTTAACCAATTAGGCACAGAAGGAACATATTTCAACATAATAAAGGCCATATATGACAAGCCCTCAGCTAACATCATATTCAATGGTGAAAAGGATGAAAGCTTTTACTCTAAGTTCGGAAACAAGACAAAGGTATGGACTCTCACTACTCCTATTCAACAGAGTACTAGAAGTCCTAGCTAGAGCATCGGGGCAGGCGGGGGGGGGGGGGGGGGGAGAGAAGAAGAGAAGAAAAAGAAATAAAAGGTATCAGAATTGGGAAAGAAGAAGTAAAAATGTCTCTATTTGTAGACAGCACAATTTTATTTTAGTAAATCCTAAAGACTGAACCAAATTGTTAGATCTAATAAATGAATTCAGTAAAGTTGCAGGATACAAAGTAAACAAAACCACTAGCATTTCTATATACTAACAACAAAATTTCTGAAAAAAAATAAATCCATTTACAAAAGCATCAAAAACAATAAATACTTAGGAATGAATTTAACTAAGGAGATGAAGGATTTCAATGCTGAAAACTCTAAGATACTGATGAAAAAAATCAAATAAAACATGAATAAATGGAAAGGTATCCCCTGTTCATGGGTTGGAAGAATATCATTAAAATATCAATGCTACCAAAAGCAATCTATAGACTTAGTGCAATCTCTATCATGAGTCCAATGGTAGTTTTTACAGAAGTTAAAAAAAAAAAAAAAGAAACTAAAATTTGTATGGAACCACAAAAGACCATCCCCCAAATAGCCAAAGAAATTCTGAGAAAGAAAAACAAAGCAGGAGGCCTCACACCCCTGATTTCAAGCTATACTATAAAGTTATAGTCACTAAAACAGTATAAAAACAGACAAATAGACCAAATGGAACAGAATCAAGAGCCCAGAAAGAAACCCAAGCATAGTCACTCAAATAATATTTGACAAAGGAGCCAAAAATACTCAATGGAGAAAAGACAGTCTCTTCAATAAATGGTGCTAGGATCATTGGATATTCACCTGTTAAAGAATGAAATTGGACCCATATCTTACACCAAAAAATTAACTCAAAATGGATTAAAGACTTAAGTGTAAGACCTGAAACCATAAAACTCATAGAAGAAAAGAGAGACAAAGCTCCTTATCATAGGTCTTGATGATTTTTTAGATACAATACCTAAAGCACAAGCAACAAAATAAAAGTGGAACTACATCAAACTAAAAAGCTTCCACACAGCAGGAGAAACCATCAACAAAATGAAAAGACATCCTATGGAATGAGAAAAAATATTTGCAAACCGTGTATGTGAAAAGGGGTTAATACCTAAAACATATAAGGAAATCGAGTCCCAGGATGCTAATAAAAACACATAACCCAATTAAGAAATGAGTAAAGGACCTAAATAGACATTTCTCCAAATCCAAAGAAGATAAACAGGTACATGAAATGATGCTTAACATCACTAGTCATTAGGGAAATGCAAATTAAAACCATGATGAGGTATCACCTCACGCCTGTTAGAATAGTCATCATCAAGAAGACAAGGGATAACACAAATGCTGGTGTGGATCTGGAACAAAGGCCATCCTTGTGCACTGTTGGTGGGATTGTAGATTGGTACAGTCACGATGGAAAAGAGTATGAAAGATGCTCTAAAATACAAGTACCATATGATCCAGCAATTCCACTTTGATGAATGTATTCACAGGTAACAAAAATACTAACTTGAAAATATATCTGCACCCCCATATTCCTATCAGTATTACTTACAATAGCTACCACATGGAAAGAACCCAAGTGACCACTGATGGATGAATGGATAAAGAAGTTGTGCTATATACATACAATGGAACATTATTAAGCCATAAAAAAAAAAACCCACAAAGACATCCTGCCATTTGTGATAATATGGATGGACCTTGAAGGCCTTACGCTAAGTGGGTAAGAGAAAGCCAAAACCTGTATGCTCTCACTTTATTGTGAAATCTAAAAACAAAAACAAAAAACCAAACCCATATAAAAAGAGATGAGACTTGTGGTTACTAGAGATGGGGCGGGAGAGGGAGGTTGATTGGAGGAAACTGGTAGGAAGGTACAAATTTCCAGTTTTAAGATAAAGTACCAGGGATGTAATATACAGCATGATGACTACAGCTAACACCGCTTTGTGATGTATAAGAAAGTTGTTAAGAGGGTAAATCCTGAAAGTTCTCATGACAAGGAGAAAAATTTTCCCCCTTTATTCTTTTCCTTTTATTATATCTATCTATATGAGAAGACAGTTAGCTGAACCTACTGTGGCAGTCATCCCACAGTGTATAATGCAAGACATCACACTATATGCCTTCAACTTACAGTGATGTAGGTCAATTATTTCTCAGTAAAACTGGGGGGAAAGACTTTAAAAATCTACATGATAAAAAAAAATCCATAAGCA